AAAATCATGTAGTTCAAGATTTTTATAGCTTTTTGAACAACCTTTCGTTTACAGTTGACTATAATCCATCTCTAGAAAATAAAGTTTTTCACAAAATCATCGCGCCTTATATCTCGTCCTGGCAAAGCGGTTTAAGCGAGATCCGTATAAACAGCCATTATTCAGCAAATTGCGTATGCTCCCTGTCTTTGATCCCTTGGGGGTGAGGCAGCACTTTCCTTGCGATAGTAACTTCTAGTTATAATTGTTTTATTTGTGACCTTAATTGCACGATTTTTGTTTTATGTGGTTGTCGTATCATGTTTCAGTTATGTTAATCACGCACTGAATTACCCTTAGATTAAATCAGGAAATTCAACAAAATTTATAGCATCGAATTCAGGAAGGGTTATTCTTTCTATTGATACTTCAAAACACAAATAACCCCCTCGAACTGACGAGTTATCGCGGTTTGAAAATGGGGTATATTTCGGGGCTATAAAAGAAATTGCATTGATATACGCCGGGGGTTTAATAGTTTATAAATCGGGAAATTCAGGGTCACGGTTCTAGCTGATGCTTTAAAACATTAATAATCTCCTCCAATCGACGAGTTATCGCGGTTTGAAAATGGGATATATTTCGGGTATAGTGCCATGACACGAAAACGGCTTTGATATACGCAGGGGATTATTAGGTGTATAAATCGGGAAATTCAATAAAATTCACATCATTGTATTCAGTAAGGGTTACTCTTTCTATTGGTACCTTAAAACATAATTTTTGCTTTTGTTGTCACCAATCGCGGGAAAAGAGGAATTCTACAGGAAATATGGGGCGAATGCAACGTAAACAAGCCAGCTTTTCTAAAGCATTGTTCCTGATTATATCATTTGTTTTTATACAATTCGAGTTTATTGGAGCAAAAAATGGAATCTATTAATGATGGCGATGTTGTCATTGTTGATCATGAGTTAGAAAATGAGGAAACTCAAATTACTGATACGCCAGGAAAATATCTCGTGTGGAAAGTTCATCATTCAGTCGAGCTTTGTTTCAAAGTCCTGGCACATCAGCAAAGGTATAAAAAAAATATATGGTGGACGAAATTGTACTTAAAACTTTGTTATTCTTTGCTATTTTATTCTTATAAATTGTCTTTGTATATTCAGTGTAAAGCTGGAGTAAATACGAGCAACAAAATTGCTGCAACTTGCAACAAAATCTGATTTCAACGCATGTACGAGGCAACATGTGTCAACATTTCTATGAGTTGTATTAACTTATGTGTCAACATTTCCACTTAACATCGGTTGAAATCAGATTTTGTTGCAAGTTGCAGCAATTTTGTTGTCTGTATTACTCCACCTCCTGTATTACACCAATTTTGTTGTCTGTATTACATATATCGAGTTACATATAGTTATGCGCTAAACGAACTGTCCATGAAAACGTTTTTTTAAATCAAATCCTTGGTTAAGGTTGGCTGACCCAAATAAATTTTTGAAGTTAAATATACAGAGAAGAGAAATATTGAAGAATTTTTGGAAAATCAAAAGTATAAACCGATGAAAAAAGCAAATATGGCTTCGTCCGTCGCCAGGTGTAATGTTGATCTGAATTTTACACGCTACAATATATGAAGAATTTAAAAACACAAAAGCACGAACTGTTCCTTACGAAGATATCGATTACACCATATATAAACCATCTGCTAATTGCGTGGCTTTTCTAACCAGCGAAGATCGGATCATTCACTGGATAAAAATATTTTATTATCGCTACTGCGGCGAAATAAACAATCGAGATGGCGAACGACAATTATTTAAATCAACTTGGAAAGAACAACTCTCCCAAAACGACTCATCGAAATGCGAAAAAATCACACTAACTCTGTCCCTCGAAGACAAAAAAACGGATGAAAATCTTATTACCATAATTATTTACTGTAGTACTTGTAGAATCTTATTACCATAATTATTTACTGTAGTACCTGTAGAATCCAGATACAAGGACGTTCTATGCGTGCGTGGGGCGATAATGAATTCCTTACAATCAAGAAGCTAGTGGACTAGACATGGATGAAATATCTTCCAATACAGCATCTAAAAACCTTCAAACCTTCATCGAGAATATTACACAGACTCCAAATAAAGAAACAGGACTGGATGAAGTCAATGAGATGTCCCCACAAGCAACTCCAAATCCTGCTGGTAACTCGAACCCCGCACGTGAAGAATCTGTAATAATTAAAACCAATGTGCCAAATCTTGAAACAAATTTCGTTTCCTTCAAACAAGATATTCTAAAATCATACGAAGAAATAAAGAAAGATATGAAGAAAAAAGATGATGAAATCGAAATTTTAAAGAAAAGGATTACCATCCTTGAGACACTAAATGAGCTTCTTCAAAAAGAGAATGCTGATCTGACTAACATCTCACATAAACAAAAGCAATTAGAAAAGAAAGTTAGTAATGCCATTACCCTATGTAAAGACCTAAAACAAAAACCGTAATTCCACCATCCACCGAAGAATCCTCCCACCAAATGGTTCCAGCTGAAAGTACCACTGAACCCACATCAACCATGGAATCAAAACCAACCCAACCAAATCCACCCCTAGAAACCCATCTCATATCCACCATCACTACTCAGAACAAATTCTCGGCCTTTGACAATGAATGCCCTGACATGCCAAACAGTTTAATGCAAACACGAGAAAAAGATTCCCTAACAAAAATAAAAGCAGACACTGTTATCCTTTGCGATTCCAATGGAAGAAACATAAATCCAACACTACTCTGCCCCAACTCCACTACCAAATGCCTGAAAAGCCCTACAGTAGAACAAGCTAGAGAAATCCTTGACCGACACTAATTCATTGGGCCTAAGACCTTTATCATTCACTGTGGAACAAATGACATTGAAAAACTACCTACTGACAACATCCCCAAACAAATGAAATCCCTCCTATCATCAATCAATCAAAAACACCCTCAATCCCGGATAATACTCTCCTGCCTCCTCCCCCGCGACGACAACCTCCTTCAAAAAGCCCGAGACCTCAATGAAAAACTAATGAAAACTGAAAAAGAATTCCCCAAAACAACCTCTGTAACCCATGCAAACCTATTCCAGTCCACATCAATACTCTATGACAAGAAACACCTAAACGACAAAGGTTTCAGAATCTTTGCAAAAAACCTTAAAAGTGCATATTATGGAACCCATCAGAAAAGAGCAAACTCTAAACCAAAACCATATCCCCATCCAGCCATCAGACCTTATCACCAACCACTACCCAAGGGTGGGTAGTAGCGAAGTAGTTGTAGTTCGCTACTGTAGCGAACTACAATTTTCTGACTACTTTTTTAAAACAGTAGTTGTAGTTATAGCGAACTACATTTTGCCTAAAAGTAGCCAAGTAGTTGACTACTTTTCAAACATCGAATCGCTATTCGCTACTTTTCAAAATTGTTATTTTTTTAGATATATCTGCCGTTGCAGCCAGGAAAGCTTTACTTAAACTCATTGATATTATAAAATATTTATTATTGTCAGCTTTCTACACCATATATACAATTAAACTAATACTAAAAAGGCGATTTCAAACAAGTTTCGTCCTTCGGACCTTTTCAATAAATCGCCATATTGTAAATAGATAAAAACGAATAAAAACTTCATGTAGCACAAATATAGTCAATCTTCTGTTCAAAAAGGGTAAAACTTCATGTAGTCATATAATTACTCTACTGTTACAATAGCACGGGGAACTTTCACATAGTTCCACTCATTCTTCGTGTTTATTAATTCGTTGTGCTTTACTTTGCCTATAAGTACTGCTTCCGTGATTTGTCTCAGCATCGCATCATCACGGAAAATACCAGTAACATTCATAACAAAGGATGGTATATCACCTCCGTGTTTTTCACAAGCGTGTCTCCACATAACTGATTGTTCTTCAGGGCGGTTCAAGGAATGTAAATGTTCTTTACCACGGCTATATGCACTTCTTGAAGTTTCTCCTATATATTTATCTTTACAC